AACAGCTTCAGGACACTCATCTTGGAGCATCAGATGCTGCTGATCAAAACAACACTGGTAGCATTTCCCACCTTTCCCATCTGCACTGTTCAGGAGTTTCACTGAGGAGCAAGTTGAAAGGTTTCTGAGTGCCCAGGGACTGCCTGTTCCCACAGGTCAGGTAGCTATTGCAGGGACAAAGTCCTATGTTATTATAAAGCTTCTAGTTGCTCCTCCAGAATGATCTCATCAGCTTTATGAAGGAGCCCTTCCTATGCTTTTCTCTGCCACAGGGGTCCCAGAATGCATTTTCTTTTCCCAAATGCCCATCATCAATTGTAATAGTAGCAACATGATACTTCAATGAGGGGATTTGTTCAGCAACCTAAAAATCCTTCTGCAGAGCCAATGCCAGCATGAATCCTTCGCAGTCGGGGCAGCTGAAGCCCAAGAAGTGAAGCAACATGCCAGGATGACACGATGGAGCCAGACAGAGCCTGGTACACAGCCTGCTGCTCTGAACGTGGGCTCACAGCCTCAGTGCTTCCAGGGACATCAGATCCCATCCCAGCCTTCACCCTGCCCTTCTTTGCCTGCAGAGTCACAGCTTGTTTTTACGCCACATCTTGAGCAGTAGCTGTGTGGCTACTTGAAAAATACACAGTGAGCAAAACAAGCAACAACCAGGATCTGGCAGGAGCCACCTCACAGCTCTCTGCAGGCTGACAGCAAGATCTCCACCACACTCACCTCAAGGTCCCACGTCTCTGTGTGTGCAGGTTCTGCTCAATTACAACCACACCTCCAGCCCTGGAGTTTAAATTATCTGAGCAAAGACCACGCCAGGACTTATTTTTAGTCTAATATTGAAAACTGGTCTGTCCACATGGCTGGGTTTCTGTCTGTTCTGCCCATGCTCTGGGCTGGCTGGACACCCTTCAACTCCAAACCAAGAGCACCATTTGCATCATGTTTGCAGCACTGCTGGCTCTGGAGAGCACAGTGCCTTCAGACTGGAGGGGCCAGAGACTGACCAGCCAACTAACATGGTCACTCAGTAAAGGCCATGACAGACTGGACTTGAGACAAGGTTTTGGGGAGTTGGCTGACCCATATGTGGCACTTGTTACTGCGGTGTGTGTGCTGAAGCTTTGATTGGACTAGATGTGACTCACACAGCACATCACAGCAGAGACATCACTGAGCCTTCATGCAAGTCCAGCAGGCCTGACTCGCCTGGGAGAGACAAAGTGAGGCAAACATTTCCAACACCCAGCCATCTAAGCATTGGGGAAGGTATTAAACTGGAGACGGATAACCTGAGTGAATCTAAAGGAATCAGTCTACAGACTTAGTCCAATGACATTGCCAAGATGACAGCTACGAAATCTGTGGACCCAAACTGGTGTGTGGAGATTTAGACTTCGCTAGAGAAAGAACTGTTTCGCCTACACCTCCCACAGGGATCTTTACAGGGAGTTCAGGGAGGGCTTGTGATCCTCAGCAGCTGAAATAAAGGCTCCAAAACTCAGTCCAGAGAGCCCAACTCTCATTCAGATAAATCACAATATCCCCCAACCCTCATGTTCCCAGCAAAACTCAGCACTGCCTCTTCTGCTCTTTCTCCCTCTTCCACCTCCTCCTGTGATCCCAAACCTCTCTTTGTTGCTGAGCACCCACAGCCAAGGGTAGAGTGAGGCCACTCACCAGGTCAGCTGGACAGTGAACCTAGGGCATGAGCAGAGTCCAGGTGAGCAGCTGCAATGATCCACATGTTAGTTTAGAGCATCTGCCAACCACTGGCAGATCCTCTGGTACCCTGGCAGTATCCAAACCATGCTTCCTCCACCCAGCCTATCTTCTCTTCCTACCCTCAAGACTTCACCTCTGTGTTGAATTCAAGGGAATAAACTAGAGAACTCAACAGCAGAAAACAAGCAGAGGGGATTACCTGCTCTTTTCAGAGATTTCAAAAATGATCTTAAATTTTTAAAATGAAACTCTGATAGCGTTTTACTGTCCTTGTCCTGCATAAACCTTCCATCTCAGAATGCTCTACAGGTTGCTCTGAACTTTCTTCCACTTTCGCCTCCATCAGAATGCTTCCAAATGTGGGCACTGATTCCTATTCTGTTTACCAAACTTGTCTATCACCACGGACTCCTGAACCTCGTTTAGCTGCTTCAAGCTGCCCAGTGACAGGATCTCGTTACCCTTTTGAGTCCCCTGGATGTTGAAATGAGCATAAAGGACCTTTCTCTCTGCATCAGGGCACACGATCAAGTTACCACACCCCTGCAAGTTCTTGCGTGTGAGCTGAGACACTGTGACCACCCAACTGCACAACCTTAGCCCGTGACACACACAAGGCAACGTGTCCTCCTTAACACTTTTCCACCATGGATGGGGCTGCTGCAACTACCCTGTGCTTACTGGGCTCCATGGGGAGACTTCTTGGTAAGAGTAGCAGATACTGCTCCTTGAACCTCAGTGCTCAAGTATCTCTAGGGTTGCTCTAGTCTGACAATGCTCCACCAAAAATACTCAGGGGAAGGTGTCAGATTGTGTCACCGTGTCCCTGTGTCACGAGGATGTTTAGCATCATGGAAAGACTTGCCCAGATAGCAGGTTTCCTTTCTGAATCTGGCCCTCAGAGGGCAGCCTGGCCATGTGGATCAAAGCTGGACACTACACCCCTATGACTCATCACACTCCATGGCCCACCTTCCTACAGCTTCTAAATGTCTCTGCTTCATCTGAAGGGATCCACACACCACTGAAGGAAGCTGAGTGATGCCTCATGCCATGCTCATACCAGGTAGTGGGGGCTTCAGGAAACCCAGCTCTCTGTCTGGCAGGTCCCAGTACTCACCCTGGGTATAGGGTCACATCCACATGGACTGGACATGGCAGCAAGGCAGAGTGGATCCCAGACAGCTCTCAAATGCAGCACTGTCAGATCCCAGGTCTCCCAATGTGCTGTCTATGGTCCCAAATCCAGACTGGTATCAGGGTTGTCACTACACCAGAACCTCCATGAGATCCTCGGGTTTCTCCAAACTGTCATGAGACCTGTGAGGCCCACACCAAACAGTGTCCCTGCCAAAGGGAACCAGAGCTCCTGCTCCAGTGTGTAGGCAAGGGGAGCAGCAGCTGGGGAAGAGATCCCCTGCAGTTCATCGTGACAATGCAGATGTTTCCAAGGACCAGTGGTACCAATCTGCCTCCTTGCACTCTGCAGCCTCCTGTCATGGGAAGGTGCAGAGATGCAGAGCAGATGGACAAAAAATACACTTCCAGGGAAAAAAGTTACCCAAGAATGGAGACAGAGCACCTTGGAGACCTGGGCTGCACTTTGAGAGCTGTCTGCCTTGTGCCAAGGATGCAGCAGAGTCCAGAGGTCTGTGGCCACTGGAGAACAGGAGGAGGAAGTCTGGCCTCACTCAGAATGTGGCAGGATTTTCTAGTAGCTACACTTTGAGGTGGTAAGAAAGGCGTTGACAGTGCTCCAAGGGGAAAATACATAATATCCCACTGCTTTCCCCATTATCTCCCCACAGGCTGTACACACATGCAGTTCTATGACAGATCATCAGTCACCATAAAAATCAGAGAGACTCTGAGCTTTTTAGATAACAATTGAGAGAGATCACAAAAAAGGAATGTGAAGGAAAAAGTCAATTACAACCTTAACTCTGGAGACTTTGCCATCTCTTCCCATCATTAGCAAAAGCCAAGCAGCCAGGGATGATGGACCCCCAGAGGAAAGAAGTTTTCCAAAAGGAGCAATTTCTGTGTTTCCTTTCTGAGATTTGGCTTTTAAGAAAATAGCATTTATCTTATACGATGCAAAGAAGTAGCATGGATCTCTCCTGGCAAAAACAAAGGAAAAATCCTGGGGAAGGATCACGGCATTAATGATGCTGTGTCTCAGCTTGGTGTCTCCAGTGCAGTGCAAGGCTGAGCACTACACGAGAGCACATTTTAAGTGCAGTTTTCTAATCAGAAAAGCTTTTAAAGGATACCTGGCCAGTGCCTGCTGTGGCTGCAATCAGATTTCCTTTAAAATCATAAAAGGCTGAGCTTTCCAAGTAGGGAACATCCCCATAAAATCTGTAAAGCAGAATTGCCAACGGTGAGGCACAGCCAGCTCTGGGCATCAGGAGCTGAGATGGAAACACAGTACAGATCTCAGAATACCCTCCTGGTCCTGACTTCCCAGGGGCTTTAGATGGGATCCTGGTGGAATTCCCACTGGGAAGACACCCTCTGACACAGACATAACACCCTCCACCAGAAAGACCTGAGCCAACATCCAGGCACTGGGAGCCCAGATCCACACCTTGTCCGTGCTCTGATTTTTATTGCTGTGGGCCCATTTCCTACTGCATTTGGGACAACTGAATAGGAGGGAATGGTGAAAAGCATTTCAGCCACATTGAATCAAATTAAAAGTTTGGGGCAATCTCTTCTTGCTTTCTGGAGACTCAAGAAAAAATGGGAGAGAAGGGCACAGATGGATTTTCTGCGATTTTCTTATGACTTATGTTTAGAAGACTCACATCTCTTTTCTTGTGCTTCCTAGAGCCTACTTTAGTTTTATCACCTATCCTCAAAAAAAAAAAACCCAAACCCAAAAACAAAGCAATAAATAAATAGTAATAAAAAAACCCCTGCTAAATCAAAGGCTGCAACAAGCACATCTTGCAAGTATCAATAATTCCATGCACTGAAAGAGCTGGGAATGCTTAAAATTCAGTTGCAATTTGAAGTAGCACGTTCTTCAAGCTGCCATTGCAATAGTTATCAACCTCTCCCTCTCTGAGATAGACACCAGCAACATAAATCAGATTTTTTGAAAGATCTAGGGAAAGATCAGTGGCTTCGGGAAAAATCAGAGAGAAGGAGTGATTAAAGAAGGTTCCAGGAGGCAATAAAGCATTTATGCAAAATGTCTCATAATAACAAACAAATCAGGGGAAAGCAGCTGCATGGGGGGAGCGGGGGGGAGAGGTACTTACACTCTTCTTCCATAACAACTATTTTAGTTTCTGAGGCTGGTAAGACTTGTGGTGCTTTCGTTGTTCCTGGGGAAATTAAGGTAAGAAAGTAGTGAACAAAATGTCTCTTTTGAGCAGGGCAGAGTGGGCTTAGCTACTGTGGGGAGGAGGAGAGGGGCAGGTGCTGCTGGGGGGCACAGGCTGGGGGGCTGCCAAGGTGTTAGTGCTGGTTTAGGGCACGCCCAGGTGGGGATCGGGGTGACAGAGGCAGGACAAGGAGTGTCCCTGAGGGGGAGATGGCACAGGACATGTTGTCCCCTCACCCTGAAGGGTCTTGTGTCATTGAGGGTCTCTGTCACAATAAAGAGGCAGAAATGGCTCAGGGTTCACCTGGCAGGGGACAAGTGAAAGTGTGGGAGGTTTTCTCAGCCCTGATGGCCGTGAGAGTGCAAAGATGGGATCACAGGACAGGGTAGCCGGAAAAGTGAGGAGTTTAAGAAAAGGTGGGATCCTCTGAAGAGCCTCCATCCCACAGGTAAGTGCAGCTCTGCAGCACAAACTAATACTGGAACAAGAGGATGAGGAACATGAAGCAGATGAAGGCCATGGGCAGGAGCCTGGGCTGGGGGTGCAGAACCCTGTCAGAGACAGGGGTGAGAGCACCACAAACAGCTAAAAAGCACAGAGGATTTTTTGGTACAAGTTTGATTTTTCCTGCAGTGTTCGAGCAAAGGGGAGTGGGGGGAGGGCAGTAACGGAGGTGCCTAAAAATTTTCTGTGGAAGAAAAGAGTCTGAAACAGTCACATCTCACCTGTGCCATCATGGTCATGTGATATAAACATTAGACTGTTCAATAAAGAGAACTGGGAAAGGGGACATTTTTCTAAGAAAGCATCTAATCAACCTCAAAGTCATAAAAATCTGCAAATAGCACCAAAGAACAGTATATTTTGTTTGAGCCCAGAAGCATTTCCTCAGAAATTAACACTGTCCCAAAGCTTCTCAATGCAAAAGCATTTATTTCTGATCTGGATGTTCTGTGGAAATACTGGAATTGCAGAGGAGAGGTGAGGTGAGGGCTTGGCTGATGGACAGTTTCTAAGTGCCAAGGAGTCACTGCACTGCAGCCACTGTCTCTCTAAAGATGTGGTGGGTTTGGTGATCTGCAACAGATCTGCATGGTTGAAAAGCTGCTTTCCTGAAACTGGTATCAACTGTAAAGTGGTACTGGAACAGAGCAAAGAGCACTTTGCAATGGCAACCCTGCCTGGCCAGGCTGAGAGACTTCCAGTGGCAGAGGCTGAACCTCAGACCTCCCTTCCACGGCCTGAGGGTTCCCTGTCTGAGCTCCTTCTCTGCCAGCCAGGACACCAGCAGGATCAGAAGATCCCTGGCCTCTGCATCCCTGGAAGGCAACAGCATGTGGGGCTGAGGACACCTCATGATACTCATCTCAAGCCTCGACAGCTCAGGCCACCTCTTGCAATGCCACCTCTCTACAGGGGCACCCAGAGATGTCCTCAAACCTTGTGTGTCTGTATCACGAGATGTGGTGTTAGCTCAGGACTTTTTCCCAGTCCTGGATTCACCCTCCTGTATCACAGCAACATCACAGGACCTCCCAAACCACTGCTGTCAGGTCAGAGATTGTGCTTCCAGCAGCTGGTCCCAGAGCACCAGTCCCAGCCAGCCTGCCCGGGACAGGCTGATGCACCAGGGACAGAACAGCTGTAAAGGAGCAGGATATAAAGCAGCAGAACACATGGAGACAGCAATAGCTGGAGTGACCTTCTGGGGAGAAGGGGAAGGCTCAAGGGGAGGCCAGCTCTGATTAATTGCTATGAACTGCTAGAACTTCACAGTTCTAGCACAGAGAACGCTGTGCTGAGGCTCAGCCACAACAGGATCAGTGCTAAGGAGCCTGGGGAAGAAGGGACAGGAGAACACACATGTGTGGATTCAGGTGCCCTGATGAGTTTCTACTGAAAGGTGTCACAGAAGAAGGGAGCTTGCAGAAACGACAAAAGCTGTGGAGATCCCAAGAAAGCCCAGCACTAAGGGAAGAGGAAAACTCCAGCACAGCCCATGCTGGGCACAGATGAAGGCTGCTCAAACTCTGGATAGCTCCAGAGGAAAGAGGAAAAGAGAGTGCAGAGTGGGGTGGCAGGGCTGCAAAAGACTCCAGTGTCATCTTGGTTACCTTTGCACGGGGCTACAAGTGGCCCTGCTGTGCTGGCAGGGGTTGCAGACAGGAGCAAGGTGTTCATGCAGCTGAGCAGCCAGTCAAGGGCAGATTGGCAAGGCAGATGAGAAAATGGATCAATCCAGACAAGAAACCCACTGGATCTGCAGCTGAGCAACAAGCCAAGGGCAGATTGGCACAGCAGCTGAGACAATGGATTAATCCAGGCACGGAATCCACTGGATCTGCAGCAACTTGCAGCCTGCAGCTCCCACTAGGAAAAGGTAGAGGCTAGAACTTTGTGTGTCTTCTGCTGTTTTTCAGGTCTCAACACATTTCTGGGCAACTCAGGTGTGTCCTCATCCCTGCTGTGAGTGGTCCTTGCCACACAGCGTGTCTTCCTGTTGAGGGAATCCTCAGGGAACCCTGAGAGTTGCTGCCTGTTAATGTGGTGATGGGGCAGCCCAGGCATGGGGAGAGCACTGCCCCAGCTGCTTTCTTGGGACACATTCCCTATCACGATCAGAAATAAACCCAGCAAAACAGCAGGTCTGACTTCACAGACGTGGGACATTCAGGCAGGGAGGGCTGAGCATGGATGGCCTTCCTCCAGACCCTGCAAGCACTGGGATGGTACAGGCAGAATAACCGAGGGGAGGCTTCGTGGTGCTGCAGCTTCACAGAACAAAAGGTTCAGGATGGCAAACACCGCTGAGGCAGAGGTTAATGGAGAAAACACCACCAGAAAGCAGCAGGAGAAAGCTACCTTCCCTCACGCTGGGCTGATGCTACTGAGAGCACAAAAAACTGAGTCCCAGCAAAGGCTGCAGAGCCCAGAGCAAAGGCTGCCAGAGTGGCCAGTTGTGAATGGCAGGAGGAAGAGCTTAGGAAAGAGAGTCATCCCCTCCCTAGCTGTGCCCTCACAGCTTCTGGCAGCCACTGTAGGGACTTTCTGAGCCGGAGGGAGCATCCAAACCATAGTGTTAAGCAATATAATTATTATGACCAAGATAATAATAAAACCACCTAACCTCAGACTCCATCCGCTGAGCTCTAAGAGATGGAGCACACATTCTAGGATGAAAACCAGAAGCAACTTCACTCATCACAAAGCTATGGTCTAATTACTTGTCTTCTGGTGAGTTTTGCTTCTCAGAAATTCTTTAAAAAATGAAAACATCAAGCCCACCAGCTTTCTTTCCTCCTTACCCCTTTTAAAAAAAAATACATAGACTGTAAGTTTATTTAAAATGTAAATTAACCACATTGCCAGTGACAGATAACAAAGATAAACATTTATGCTAAGCTGCATTTTTCTTATCTCCCAAAAGATTGTTTTACTCGATATCCTGAAAGCATGAAACAAAATACAAGACAGACCATGTGCAGAACCTCCCGCTCTCTGTGGAATGGCAGACAGCTCGAGACATTTGCTGGCTTCTTCACTTACCACTTTTCACATTCAGGCTGCCTTTTGCGGTGTCTTTCCCTAAAACGTTCTTGGCTTCGCAGCTGTACTCCCCAGCATCCTCCAGCTTCACCTTGTTGAACTGCAGTCTGGAAATCTTTCTGTTGAAAAGTACAGCAGACATTTCTTACTCGGTTGCTGACCATCCTCATGAACTGACAACCATTCCTGGCCCTGGGATGCTGCCTGGAGGGTCACCCCTGCCCGACCTCACAAGCCTGGACAGGATTTGGACAAAGCCCCTTCCCAGGATTTCCTGAGTGAACATCTCCCTCTGAACCCAGCGCTCTCGGTGTGTTGCATGGTTTGGTCTGACACCTGCCCGCACTCACACAGAAAGGCTTGTGAGGGGTTGAGCCCAAGAGTCCCAACAGCCCAGTCCAGCTTTCCACACTGGAGAGAAGCCACTTTCCTGATGGACAGCAGGATCTGCCTGCTAGATGGAGATGTGGAGAGGACATGCATGTTCTGCACCTTCCTCAGCAGGGATGCCGAGCACTCCAGTGCTTCACCAGCCTCATCCAGCAGTGCCATGCACTCAACACAAACACCCACGAGGTCCAGGGGGGCTCATCCCTCTCCAGCCTGCAAATCCAACCCCCAGGATTTGCCCTGGACAGAGCTGGTAGCTTCATCTAGGCCCACAAATAGGGCAAGTGTTTTGTCAGCCCCAAATACACCCACTCCAGTGGACTACAGATATGTGGGGCTGAGCTGCACACACTCATCTTACCAGCCAGAAGTGCCTCGAAAGAGCAGGAGAGGGTGTGTGTGACGATTTTAGGTGTCACCTAAGAGCCTGTGCTGCTGCTGCTCGTGGCAGAGGGAGCGGCTCTGCGGCAGAGCTCTGCGGCGCTGCGGGAAGGCCTTTCCCACTGGCTATGACTCATTCCTGGGATGTCTCTGACTAACAGGCAAAACCTTTTGTTGCCTAGTTTAGCAGAGATCTATAGGAGCCTTCAACACACACTAAATGCCACTTATGAGACCGCAGTGGGACTCCCATGAGTCTCTGTGTTTTACTACATTTCCTTCCATTTTAGCCATCTTATCAAAACCCACCCTACCTGCTCTTCTCATGACAACATCTCTTTCTGCCTTTTACCCCAATCTTTTACCTCAGGTCTGTGTCATACAGTCACTGCATTTAGAGACTCGGAAGCACTGCCAGCTTTAGAAAGAGGTCCCAGTGGCCTATGTTGCTGAAGGCAAATAAAATTCCATTTTATGTGGAAAATAATCATTAGCCTTGGACATACTTGCAATGCTACATGTGTCATATGAGAAGGACTTTTCTTTGGGCTGTGCAAATCATCATCGTCCATAGGAAGCCCTTCACAGAAGCTCACTGGCATCTTTTTAACACCCCAACAAGCTGTTCTCCTGGGAGGCACGGCGCAAGGACACAGCAGGAACATCTCACTAGTTATATTAGTAAATTAAAAGCACTTGGAGACAACTTGGTAGAGCTGCCAGGGCTCAGGCGCTGCCCTGTTTTACAGGATGCGGTCAAGTGCTCAACTGCACGAGCTGGGGCCACATGTGGAGCAGTTTCTAAATGAATGCTGACAGTGTGCAAAGACCTCTCGAATCCCTCTGGCTGCAGGTCTCCCCGATCCACTCGTGCCGTTACTTGGGCCGCCACATTCCAACACGGGTGCCCAAAGAAGCCAGGTGGTTCAGGGTGCTGCAAAGCTGCCTGGACTCCCAGCACCATTCCCTTCTCTGAATGTTCTCTCAGAGCAACCTGTGACAGCCCTGGGCACTGTGGCCCTCCCTGCTGTGCTGCCTTGGGAGTCAGCAGCACCCAAGGGACAGCAAAGCACTTAAGGGTGTGCAGTGCCTGTTGCTGCAGTGGGTTCCTGCACCTTCCCGGGATGTACGAGGGCTGTGGGCTCTGTTGAGCTGCTCAGGGCCACGTTCCCAACTCCCTTGGCAGAAGCAGGTGTGGAAATGCTCATCAAAGGGGCGAGATGGCTCCTGGTGCTACAACATGCAACCCCAAGACCGTCCCCAGCCCAGCCATTACTTTCTTCCATCTGTCTCAACCCTCTTTTGCCAGAACACATCATTTGTTTTACACCCCCTCCCAGGAGAGGCTGCAGCTATTGCTGCTACACATGGAAGAGATGCAGTCAGCACGTGCTGAAAGCAGTTTGGAAGAGCAAGGCTCTAACTCACAGTCCATAGAAAATACCCCCCTGGCACACCAGCACACTGAGACTCTGCCAGAGTTGAAAGCATTGATGGCCACGCTGCCTTCAGCTGCTGGAGGACAGATGTTCTACTCATAACTGGCTGCATCATAATCTCAATCCACAGCACATTTCACCAGGTGTAGCAACTGGAAAAGTGATCTCTTACAGATAAGGGGTTTTAGTCCCAAAGATATGAATTAAGGTGTTATTGGTGACACAAAAGGGTAATGAAAGGGGCCACACTTGACAGATTCATCACCAAGAATAGGATGAGAGACATCTGGTCTTTTACCAGAGAGAATAAAGAGTGATGTTGGCATTTAGAGCATAGCAGCATCAAAGTCAAACCAAAGGGGATTATTTTGTTTTAATGTACAAGACTTGTACTGTCAAAAGAGCTTATTTTTACTTGTCAACACAGTTTGTTGAAATTCTCCTGGATTGTAAGATCCCCTTGAAAAATCAAGAGCTTTTTCTTGCTGTTCATACCTCAGGCCAGTGGCGTGGCCACTCTTGGTCTTCACACTGTGCTGTATAAATGTCAGGTAACAGACTTGGGGGAAAAGAGATGAAGGGTAGAGATATGGATCAGCTTTAATGTGGAGCCTAGCCACTGTAAAGAGAATTTTCCTCTTCTGGGAAGCACTGAAACAGCCAGAGAGACACCTTGCTTCACAGCATTAGCCAAGGGCCTTTTAATTAACATGGATAAGGCCTGAAGAAGAACTGAGCTGAAGGATGTCAAAGAGACTAGTCCTCGCTTGATCTGTGTGTGCCAAAGGTGACCAGTCTGTCTCTGTTCTATTTTACCATCTCCAAGTGCTACTGAAGCATCTCAAAACTCCTTTGGAAATCAGTTTTTCAAGGTCATGTTCTTCCTCCTGCTGCCCCCAAGGGCAGGTACTTTGTCCTCGTGCGGGTTGAGGGATGATTTCACAGAAACACCAAGTAGCAGTGTCCGAGGAATTCTGCTGTGCCCTGGAGTTTTGGATGAAGCCTCGTGGGCAGTGTGTCTCCCAGGGACAGCAGTCCCTGGGAGAGCCCTACATGTGCATTCACAAGGGTGCCTGGCTGCCAGAGGATGCCATTCTTCTGGAGGAAGTCACTGCCCCGGGCTGTTTGCTCAGTGAAAGGGCCAGGGTCACTGACAGATCCCATCATTTCACTGCAGTGCAACTCTGTTGACATCTCTTTACTCCGGGGGAAAATCTGCCTCATTGTCTTTCCTGACCCTCAGCACATATGACTTAGCCACTCACTAATTATCTCCTGTAGTGCCAGTGGAGGGATAAGCCATGGGGAATATGCTGTCTGCAAGCACTGAGGGATAGGATTCACAAGGAGACCTTCAGCCTGGCCAAAAGAAGATCCCCCAAAATACCTTTCTGACCAAGAGAAAAGAGTCCCCCAGAGGGCAGTTTGGAGGGATGAGTAAATCACCCTCTGCAGTGCCAATCTCCAGACTACAATGGGAAACAGGGAGATCAGCCCTTGGCCAGGACCTACACAAAGATCCTGGCAAATTCTGGCTGAGAAGGGTGGCTTCACTGGCTGTAATTTAGACATCTCAGAGTTAGACATCTAAATGTGAGCTTGGACCCTGAGGCCTCCAGTGCAATCAGAGGAGAAGAAACAGGCCTTGCATCTCAGCCAAGGAGGAACTTCTCATGACAGCAGTCGTGTTCCCACCAGCACTTTGGTCAAGCTTGAATCATTTTTCTCCTCTTACCTACTGCCAAGTGGAAATGGGGCCGTTTTCCCAGGTCATCTGCTTTCAAAGCCATTCATGTCAGAGCGTGGGAGCAGGAGAGCAGCTGCCATGAGCTGCCTCCGAGACACCTACACTGAGGACTCCGTGTTCCCTGTGAGAGTTCAGCCACTTCTGCATCGTTCTGGACAAGAATAGCTCTAGGATTACTACTGCTGTAGTGTTTTATTAGTCTTCTAAAAATAGGGTAGCTGCCGCATGAGTAATGAAGAAGTCAAGGAATCAGCTGATGAAGAGAATTTGGATGCTACACCACATGGAGCCCCAAAATTGTCAATGAAGAGCACTGCACATAGTAAACACACCTGAAACCCTAGGAAAAGGAAATTCCCAAACATGACCCTTGCAAAGGACACACTGGCTGCACTGCCGTGGTTACCCATTAACTCCATACCCCTCTGTTTGCTCAGAGAGCCAGTGGCAGGAGGCACACTGGAATTGACTGGAGCAGGAAGGCCAGCAATGGCTGTAACATGCACTGATTACATCCTGCCAGAGATTTAATTGGTGCCTACGTGCTGTCCTGGCACTCTGCACCGCGCTGCTTTTGCCCCGGGAGAGCAGGTTAATGATTGGCAAGAAGATTCAGAATATCCAGGTTACAATCCACAAGTGCTGTCCAGCAGCCATCAAACACTGGGCAGCCCCACCAGCTGGAGCAGGGGCTCTCAGGGAACACATTTATTTTCCCCAGCACTCAGTGGGATAAAATAAGGCAGAAGGGATCACTGCAATGCACGGACAGCACGGGGATGGCTATGGCAAAGCCCCTCTGTCCAGCAGGGCAGGAACAGCCAGGAGCATCCTCTCCCTTGAATAACCATCCATGTGGAAGCCACCCCGACCTCTTCCTTGCCTTTCAAGCTGTTCTCAACAGAACACAGCAGAGCTGGGCAAGATGGCTGTGCTTGCAGTGCTTGAGAAAAACTCATGTCCTACACTGGCTGCTGTGTGCTCCAGAGCGTGATCTGGCCAGCTCAGTGTTAGCCACAGAAAGATGGGAAAGGGGACAAAAATGCCCTCAAGCAAAGCAATCAAATAAAAGGGGTAAGGGTGGGAAGGTTTGGACTTTTCAGCTTGGCCATCATCCCTTCTGCAGTGGGCAAAGGCCTCCTTCCTCCTCCCCTCACACCAT